GTTCTTTCCAGGGACCAGGCCGGGAGATTCTTAAGGATGGAAAGGGAAGGGTGCCCTCTCAAGGGCAAAGGCCTCATTCTATCCCACTGCCCGCAGGGCCTGTTAGGGGAGGTCCACCAAGCTGGTCACCACGGATGAGACCGAGCATACCCTAGATGAAGCAAGGACAGGCAGAGGCTGAAGGTAGAGGTTTTCTTTTTATATATACAAGACACATTCATCCAGTAAATCTGAGGACACGGTACAAAAACAGAAACAAACAAAAAAACACTGCAACTAATTCATCTGACAATGCTGTTCATATTCATGACGCCATTTTGTTGTTGTTTTGTTTTCTTAATAATGAAAGAGAAGACTTAGGGCTGTTGGGCTGATATATATTTGGGGGTCCCCCCTTCCCACTTCACCCAACCACCACCAGGGTGAACAGGAGTAGAAGGAAGGGCAGGGCCCACAGCAAAGTTTCATAATCTTGAATGCAAGAGGGTAGGGAGGAAGAGGGAAAAAAAATACAAATTCTATAATACATACAACAGGGTGGGGATGGTGTGGGAATGGGACAGACATGAAGCTGAGGCATGGGGTAGGCCGCTGGGGGTGGGGGGCAGCGGAACCCCCCTCACCCCACATTCCTTTTCTCTTTGATGCTGTTTCCATAGTTGCCAGGATGAGAAACCCTCTCGGAAGATGGGGCTGGGAGAAGTGGAGGGCCAGGGCCTCAGTTGGCCCCCCAACTGTAGCTGTTGTAGGCAGACTTGTTGGTCTGGGGCTTCTGCTGGATGGAGCTGGTCTGGCTACGTTGCCCACTGCCTGTCTGCAGGGGGACGGGAGGATCATAGGGAGGAAAAAGGTCTAGTTAGTGGGACACATCTGTGAGCTCTTCAGCTGGAGATAGGGTTGTCTTCACTCCCCCACCACTCCTTTGCCAGAGACTACTATGGAGTTCACTCAGCCATAGCTGCTAGGGCGTCTCTGACAAGCAAGGCACTTTCACCCTTTACATAGCAGCAAGGAGGAATGAGGACAAGGCCGTCAGTTCTCATTTTCAGTTCCACCTTTCCCCACCACCCCACCACTCTCCAAGGCTTTAGGAGAATGCTGCTATGTGGGGAGACTTATGACCTCTTTGGGGTGAGGGATCATTAAGCCATTTCATTTTCACTGATCCCTGAGTGCCTCAATTGGATTGCTGGTTTTGAAAGCAATGAAGTCCCTTATTCCAGCTCCCTGGCCACCCAAGATGAAGGAAGAGGTCACTTGCACCAGCCCATAGCTGCCCCCGCCCCTCCCACACATCACATCTGTTAACCCTTTAGAGGTAAGGCAGGCAATGGAAGCCTCAAGGCCTCAGAGGCCCACAAGAACCCTTCCCATTCCAGTAACCAAGTATTTATTTTCCAAAGTTGGAGGAGGGTAGAAAAAAGACATTAAGGAAGGGGGAAAGGAGCAGGGGGTGGGTTGGGGGGAGAGCTCAGCAAGGTGTGTGTTTGTGTCTCCCGATTTGTGACCGCGCAGTCTCTCTCAAGTTCCCTGAAGCTGTGGAGGTGCAATGGGGGGACTGACAGGAAGTGGGTTCAAGCACATCATCATCATTGAGTTTCATTACCTGCTCCTCCTGCTGGCGCTGGCAACAGAGAATCATCTGCAAATATGGTAGCTGAGGCAGAACCAGGATATATGGAAAATAAAGGGACAAACTTTTGACAATAGAACTCCACCATTAGAAGGGAAACTATGTTGGGGAAAAGGGGAAGTCTGGGAGAGGTAGGAGGGGAGGTGTAACCAGGTCTGATGGGATGAAGGCAACGGTATCATGGGAGGAGGTAGAGAAGGCACCAAAGGAACCAGGCAAAAAAAGTGACATGGCCCCTTCTCTGATGTTGCTTTTGCTGGCCGCTCGTGTTATGTGCGCTGTTTGTATGTGCTGTGTGCCCATGGTTGGCACTGTGGAGGGGCTGGGTGAAGGTGGTGGTGAAGAAGGCAAGAGAAGGAAAGGGAAGGCAGTTTGAAGGGATAGGAAGAGGAAGTAAAAGGAGCACAGGGAAGGGAAGTGCTATTACCTGGCCATCCTGCTGCAGGTGGTGGTGAAGGATCTGGGAGTGCGGCTGCTGATGGGGGGTCAGAATGTGCATAAAGGGGGCAGGTGGGTAGGCAGCAGCTGTGGCCGGATTGATGGGACCCCCACTTCCTAGTGCTGAAGGCAAGTTGAAGGAGGCAGCAGGAGTACCGGAATGAAAACCTTGTTTCTCAAAGGACTGCTATCCAGGAGGGTGGGAGGGGAGAGAGTAAAGGGATCAGCAAACTACTCCTGGGGTTTTCCGAGCCCACGCTCTCCCCCCACCTTCAGAAAGCAGAAGTGCAATCAGAGAAGGAGTGCTGCACCTGTACACGGAGTCCTAGACAAATGAGGCTCTCGGTGTCCTGACATATCAAGCTGGGAGGCCAGGGTTGCTACTGACCTCATGGTGCAGGGGCCAAAGGAGGGTGAATGTGAGAGCACTTTGTCAAATCTAATGCTTTATGTGAACACTGTGGAACCTGCTGGCTATTTTGGCACCCTCTCGCAGGAGTCAGCTGGAAATCAGTACTTAGATATTTCAGAAGCAATGAGTACACATGGAGGTGGAAGACTTGTCCGTGAAGCACTCTCCCCACAGTGCAACTATTTTCTATCAAATAGATGGATCATTCAAATGCATGACTTTAGTTACGGGGTTCTCTGTTAAAGAGATTCAGTCACACAGAATGAAATGAATCCGTTTCCTGTATTCCATCCTCACTCTCTTGTAAAGTTAGGGTAAAGGTTGGGAGCAAGCCACTTTTAGGTCCAGGACAGTGAATCAGTGGACATAGTTCTCTTTTTTTCACCAGAAGGCTAACTATAACGTTCTTAGAGACACAGGAGCTAGAGAAAATCGGTCATTTTCACATAGGATTGGGTTTCCTAATCCCTCTCCTAGGTTTCTTATCCACTGAGCTATCATGAAAGCTCCACCTCCTATATGTCCATCTCTCTTTTCCTTTCTTTACCAATCTGCCCAGAGCCAGGCACCTACCTGGGTTTTGGAGTACACAGAACCCGAGATATCTGGCACGCCCGTGTTACTGGAGGTGACTGATACACCTGAGGGAGGAGGAAACAGACAGGAGGGTTAGCTCGGCTAGCTGCCTGGCCCCCATTCCTGGGAGGAAGTGATGTCTGCAGCCTTTCTAGCTCTATCACTGCAAAGGAATTTTGTTTTTCCAGCTTCAGGTCAGTTCAGAGGGCTAAGAGCTCTCAAAGGGTTCTCTGGCTGTGCCTGTATGTGAGTGAGGTGAATGGTATCTTTGAGAAAAGGGGATACAGTCGAAACTCACTAGCACACACACGTTTCAAAATACTTCTATGCCAAAGCCTAACAGTAATGCCATGAACTTTTATCATCCATTGGGAACCAATTCACCACATTCTACTTGGTTTTGCACCTGAAGACGTGGGTGGTCTGACCGATCCATGCCTCCACACCCAGAACAGATCACTAGATTCCCAAGAGCAGTTTCAGTCTCAGAGCCTCAGCTCACTCAGGCCAGCTTTTCCAGAGTCTTGGAACTACTATTCTTTTTTTTTTTCAGTCAATTTATTGGGGCTCATAAAACTCATCGCAATACAGATCAATTGTGTAAAGCACATCTATACATTTGTTGCCCTCATCATTCCCAGATTAGATATTCTTAAAAGATTTTAAAGGGCCAACACAAGGCTACTCTCCATTTATATGTACAATTTAGACTGAAG